GATTGATGACCTATCCGATGATTGAGTCGGAACTGCGAAATGGTGAACTTGTTGTATTGAAAGGAGCGCCAGCTTTTCAACGCATCGCCTTCAACGCTGCTTGGGGTATTGATCAGAGTCAGACGGTAATCCGTAAGCTCGTAGCGCTGGCCAAGAGAATCTCCACATTCGAGAAGTCTTGACCGCGCGCTCACTAGTTCCCAGAGTATCGGCCTTTACTCTGGCTTCACGCCGGCCTCGCTTAGCAGCTTTTGCCAGCGAGCGACCTCTTCGGCCAACAACTTTTCAGCACCCTGTGGAGTGCGTTGGTTGGCACCCGGAACGGCCAAGCCCATCTGCTTGTAGCGATCCACTAGTTCTGGTTGCGCAAGAGTCTTATTAATGGCGTTGTTGAGAGTGTTCACAATGTCCGTAGGCACCCCCTTTTTTACCAAAAGCATGTTCCATATCGTGTAGTTCAGCGATTTGTAGGAGGTCTCGCTGACCGCAGGAACATTGGGCAAAACGCCTACTCGCTGCGCACTCAGTACGACGAGACCTTTGATCTTTCCGGATGAAATAGAACTTACTGCCGTACTGCTGCTTTCTACGGTGTAGTCAATTTGGCCTGCCATCACATCGGAGGTCGCTTGAGCTGCGCCTCGGTAGTGAACGGGTGGAACGTTGGTGCCCAGTGTTGCGTTGAGCAATACGCCTCCCAAAAAAGCTCCTGAGCCGACTCCCGCGTCACCGAAATTCATCTTCGCACCGTGCGCCTTGGCGTAGGCCGCAAACTCGTCCAGGTTGGACGCCGGAAAATCCGCGCGTACGGAAAGCACTTGCGGTGCGTCACCGACGGATGCAAGTGGCGTAAAGTCCTTCAGGACATCGTACGGCAGATTCTTGTACACAGAACCATTGGCGGCTAGCGTTCCAACGTTGCCCATGAGCAGCGTGTAGCCATCTGCAGCAGCTCTTGAAAAGCGTGTTTGACCAATGGAACCGCCAGCACCTGGGACGTTCTCCACCACGATAGGTTGTCTCAGTTCCTGCGACAAGCCCTTCGCCACCATTCTTGCCAGTACGTCGGTTGCCCCACCTGCAGTGTAAGGAACGATCAAAGTTAGAGGTTTCTCTGGATAGCCGCTGGCATGCGTACCGAAGCTCAATGCCAGTCCCACTGCGCTGACCGCCAGGCGCGCAACTTTGATGTTGAACGGATTTTTCGCATTCATGGTTTGTCTCCTATTTGCGTTTGTAGTGAATGAACTCTTCTTTTCGGGCAAGTTTCGGCCGTAGCGCTCGTGATTAGCGCGTGGCATGTGCAGGAATCTCTATGGGAGGGCTGCGCTCAGCTTTTTTGAGCGCCTGAGCGGATCAGCTGGGATCGCTCAGTGAGAAGGTCACAACTTTTTCGTCAGTCATGTCGCGAACGGCGTACTTGGGACCTTCAAAGCCATAGCCGCTGTCCTTCACGCCGCCGTAGGGCATACCGTCATTGCGTGAACTGGATGTTTCGTTCACGTGCAATCCACCGACACGGAGGTTGCGAGCCATGTAGAAGGCGGTGTTGACGTCATTAGTGAAGACACCGGTCGCGAGGCCATAGGGCGTAGAGTTGATGCTTTCGATCACCTCGGAGATAGTGTCAAATGGCATCAGTGTGACGACCGGAGCAAAAATTTCTTGGTCGACAACTTTCATTCCAGGCCGCACGTCCGTCAGGATCGTCGGTTCGAGCACGGAGCCTTCACGCTTTCCGCCGGTGACCAATGTTGCGCCCGACGCGGTTGCCTCTTGAATCCATGATTCAGCGCGGATCGCTTCTTTCTCCGCGATCAGCGGCCCCACGTCGGTATCTGCTTTGCTAGGGTCCCCACACTTCAGTGCACGAGTGGCCCGCTCTAGCCGGGCAGTGACTTCTTCAAGGCGTGAACGCGCCACGTAGAGTCGCTGAATCGAGGTGCAAACCTGTCCGGCCTTGCGGAAGGTCGCTCGCATAATTCGCGGTAAGGCCATGTCCACATCCGCATCCGCGCAGATCACCGTACAGGCAATGCTGCCAAGTTCAAGCTGAGTGCGCCGACGCCCGGCTTTTTGCTGGATGATTCGGCCAACTCGGGTGCTGCCGGTAAAGGTATAGAAATCGATCCCTTGCTCTTCCAGCAACCATTCACCTGCTTCTGCGCCTTCACCATGTACCAGTGCCAGTAGCTCGCTAGGCCAGCCCGCTTCCAGAAGAACGTCACAAATCAGACTGGCGGTCAGTGGCGTGAAGCCAGAGGGCTTGAGGATGACCGCATTGCCCGCCGCGATGGCAGGGGCAATTTTGTGCAGCAGCGCATTGAATGGCGCATTGAAGGGCGTAATTGCGCACACCACGCCAACTGGCGTGCGAATAGTGAAGCCGATGCGATTCCCTTGATCCGGATTGCCTTCCATGGGGATCATTTCTCCGGAAATGCGTTTCGCCTCTTCTGCCGAGATTTCCAGCGTATCCAGTCCACGGGCAATCTCGCCGGCTGCCTCTGCGGTAGTGAACCCCGCCTCCAGCATCATGATCTCTACGAAATCCTGTCTTCGCGTTTGAATGATCTCTGCTGCCCTGCGCAATATGCGAGAGCGCTTGTACCCATCTGGGACCTTCTTCAAATGAGCACGCGCCACGCCCACTGCGTTTTGAATGTGCTCCCTTGATGTTTGATCAACTTGAGCGATGGCGTCTCCCGAGTAACGGTTTCGGACGACGAAGCTTGCGCCGCTGCTCACGCGTTGGCCCGCAATCAGGCTCTGTGTTGAAACGGCTGCAAGAATTTGGTTCGTTCGCTCAGACATTGCAATATCTCCTGTCATGGATGTAGTGTTTAGTTCGCCAAGATGAGGTCAGCCGCCTTCTCGCCGATCATCAGACTTGCGGCCAGTGTGTTAGCTGATGGAACCTGCGGCATGACCGACGCATCCGCGACGCGCAAGTTCTCAAACCCATAGACCCTCAAGGACGGGTCCACCACGGCCGTCCGATCGTCTCGGGGGCCCATCTTGCAGGTGCCGACCATGTGATAACCGGTGGTACCTTTCGCCTTGGCATAGTCCAGAAATTCGTCATCAGAATTAACCTCGCCG